ACTGCCTCACAGCATGGTGTAGCCTTTAATATTGCTCTTTGGCAATGCATTCTGACAGGTTTTGTTTTAAACTTTGATCTCCATCTTTTCCTTCTGCCAAGTTTTTATGGAATTTTTAGTCTCTGTTGGTCAATAATCACCATTTATCGAACTTATTTTGTATCATACTCTCCGGTATTTCCCTTGGGCGGATTTCTTTTGAACTTTACACTATGGCAGTTGCCTTGTGGCTGGTTTATTTTGAACCTAGGACTAAGTTTTGTCCTGTCGGTCAAGTTTACAATGAAACTTAGTCTCCGGTGATCTCTGTCAGGAGTGTTTCTGTAGAATTTTACCCTTCGGTAATTGCCCTTGAGTGTGTGTCTATGAAAGATACTTTAATCTTCCCCCAGAGTATTCTTCTTTACTTGTTTGCATTTGAAAGTGCATTAGCAAGAACGTACAGTTTTCTTGAAGAAACACTGTTTATTTTCAAAATTTCATGTTGAGAAAATGCCTTCCAAAGTCATGAATGTCTGTGGAACTTATCTGAATTCTCCCTATACATCCTCATGGTAGAGTGTTTAGCAAAATAGCGAAGTTAGGTTACATTACGTTATTGTATCTTGTACTTAGTTTGTGCTTTGGTTTGTTTGTGTAGATGGCAGCAATGCAGGATCGGGTAATGACATCGATACTGTGCTGATCGCAGTCGTTCGCATGATGCGTGATAACAGTGTTGCTCAGCGCTCACTACTTGAGCCAAGTAAAGATGAATATGTGACTCGGCATCTCATTGACGGCCGCATTATTTACAGTGACCACAGGTATGATATGTGTGTAGTCTGCAGACATTCTGTGTTTTGTCAGAAATTGTGTATGTATGTGTAAAGTAAATTATTATTATTTTCACTGAATGTTATCAATTTATAAATGCTTGCAAATAAAGTATGGGTATGCCCTAATTAAGAATGAACTGCTGCTGACAATTTTTCGATCAGCTGTGTCATGAACTAAAAGTGAACAATAAACTCATTCAGATGTTTCTTGTTCAGTGGTGCATTGTGTTATAAATTAGATATTTCAAGTTATCTAACTCAGTTTGTAAGGGCAGGACATGATTTGCCTTACATAGTGTCATCTCGAACTTGCCAACTTAAATAAGAACTTTTTGAGTTACTAAGTTACCAAGTGTTTGGACTGAAGTCAGTAGAGCAAACTTTAATCAGACTTATACTTCATACCATGCTAACTTACAGGACAGTGCATTGCAGAGACAGCAAACGACGGATGCCAAGCAAACTTGTGCAACAGTGTACTACATTCACACGGTTTGGCTGTCTTAAATTTCTGTACTTGACACATCTGACTTCTGTAAAAGTGACCAAAATTGTGTATGTATTTATTATTCCAGTCTATACACAAACTTAATTTTAAAATGTTGTTGTTAAATGTGTATAGACTGGAATAATAAATACATACTTAGTTCAACACAAACATGACGCATCTAAGCTACAAATTGACCAAAATTGATTGAGGCCGTATTGGTGACTGTTTCACTTAATACACCACTTCTCTAGGCCAACTAGTTCGTTGAAAATAAATTATATATGTAAATCATTTGTAATAACCTTGTACTTTTAATTAAGAAATCTTACTGTCTGTTGAGTCCTAAAGATATTTGGTTTTTGTTAACTGCAAGTAACAAGTTTATTACATAACTGACACGTGGCAGCTTCAGTTTCAAAAAAATTGTTGTTCTATATTTACATGGAGACGTGCAGGTAGTGTGACTTGACTTACAACTGAAAAGTAAGTTATATGGTAATGTTTATGATGTCAGAAGGCAAGGGTGTGTGGTTTGAATCTCATATAGGGTACCTGGTTTCGTGACTTGGAATTTTCTTAGTTCTTTCTGTGTATTAAGGCAAATGATGTGGCAGTACCTTGAACCTTGCCGCTGTGATTCCCTTCCACCACACCATTCAAAATTATCTTTCCATATCATTCGATGCTGTATTACATCTGCAGTTGAAACATAATCATTGAATAAGCTGCAAGATTCAGTCAGTATTCTGCAAAAATATGAACAGAATATTAAGGACTTGTCGGGGGTGTATCAAAATATTGTATATTTCTTAACACACAACAAAACATTTCCTGTTATAAATACTGTCTTGTGATATGCATATGGAAGTCTCATAGTGGATGTCATTAGTGTGTAGCAGCATTTTTTTATGTGGAGATTTTTTGGTACTATTTTTAGTAGGTAACGACTACTTCCATCCATACAGAGGCATGTTTAAGTGATATTTAATATGTAAGTTTGAATATATTAATTATTACTCCCTGAAATGTTGAATTTCAGTAGAGAAGATTGTTAAGGCAGTGAAATTTTTAATTTGTGTTTACAGGATCTCGGTGGTGGCAGGCTACATGGCCGAGGAGATTACAGGAGAGTCTGCCTTCAAGTTTATGCATAAGGATGATGTACGCTTTACAATTGTAGCTCTACGACAGAGTACGTAACCTTATTGATTGCTAATGCAGTAATTAAATATCATACCCATGATTATAATTCTTATTGCCAGACTGGGAGCTGAAGCTCTTGCACTAGAAATCAGTCAGATTGATGGGTGACTTGGTTGCACTGTAGCACTGATTGTTGCATATTGGAAACTAATAGTCAGTTTCAGTAGGTGTTCTGTATCTGTAGTATGTATTCTTCTTCCTCTTATGATTGCACAAAGTCGTGAATTATTGTGATGTGTAGCGTTTGACTTAAGATTGTGATATGTATACACAGTAATAATTAATATGACAATGTTAGAACACCTGTTGGTAGTTCATGGGAATTTTTTGACTGACTTCACTGCTATCAACTTTTCACTAAAAAATGTAGTTATTTATGTAGGAAGTCCTTGAATATATAAGCACATTTGTAGACAACCGTAAAATGTGATCACCTTGTATTTTTGTTACAGTGTATGATCGTGGTAAAGGGAGTTATGGCAGCAGTTGCTACAGGCTTCTGTGCAAGACCGGCCAGTATATTTACTTGCGTACTCATGGCTACCTTGAGTATGACAAGGACAGCCAGAAGATAGTTTCCTTCATATGCATCAATACCCTTGTGTCGTAAGTTATCAGCGAATTTATTAACAGTAGGATTTCAGGTTTTCGCTGCTATGAGTATGAAAATGACTGTGTTCTGGGTTGTTGCACTGTGTAGTCTGGTAGGAGTTTACTGATGTTTCAGAGGTCCTTGCTGCCTCCATCATGAGGCTCTGCTCAAATAATTATTCTGCCCTGGATATATAAAATATTACACCAATGGTATATTGAACAGTGTCCATTGTCTGAGATTGACGTACATGATATTTTAGGATTTGGTTTTGCTTTGTCTTCAGGTGCTTGCTTTATGTAATACTGACATAATTTTTTATATATTAGTGGTAGCTCTTAAAATTGAATCCTCCTGACATGATGCTTAAAATTTAAGGCTGTGCAGTGAATACCATCCAGCATAACAATTGTCTTGTGTTTAGGGAGGAAGAAGGTGTGCAACTTGTGCGAGAGATGAAGGCTCGGTTCTCTGCCAACATCTTGACAGCATCTAGCCAGCAGCCAGCTCCACTTCCTCCCGCTTCCATCCCGTCCACTTCCACTGTCACGTCTGGCCCCCTGGTAAGTAAAAGAATCATGCCCAATATTTGAATTGATGAAAATGTGATAAAATAGAATGACTTTGAGACTGTGTTATGATTACAGGAATCAGACCTGTTGGAGGTAGCTATTTCACAACTTATTTCCAACATCCCTGCAACAGAGGATGATCAGGGTGGAGAAGAGGAGAGGCGCCCTGAGGTATCAGATACCCAATATATGAAGGTTGTACACTATTCGAAGGCTCTTCCTCCTGCAACAATACAGGCAGCAAAAGTGGGCCTTGACCCACTTATGTCATTGTCTCATGTGGGGCCTACCTCACCTACAAGACCACTTACTGTGACCATCCCTGGAACACCTTCAAGGGTACAGACAGATTCTGCTTGGTCTATGGTGAAACGTGAATCTGTTATAACATCTTTAGTGTCTTCTGTTAAGACAGAGCATGTTCCTCGACCTCCACCACCAGTGCCACCTCGAAGGCAAGAGACTGTTGTGGTTAGTGTACAGGCAAATCAGGCTGGAAATATGCCAGAGTGCATGACAGGGTTGAGAACACAAGCAAATCCAGTGTTGAAGCGGACAAGTAACATTGCAGACTGTGAGGTACAGAGTAGTTCTAAGCGTCAGCATGTGAGCTATGCTCGGCGAAGGGAAAGACGCCCCACTGAACCTTCAGCCCAACTTCATCTTGAGAGTCCCACAATGGATGAACCTAGGAGGACACCAGATGAACAGCTTCGACTTATCATGATGCGAGACTCTCTTGTCACGAGTCCTCCTGCTAATTCCCTCTTACACTGTGTTGCAAGGGGATTCTCAGAACCCAGTGCACCGAGTCCTGTTTCTCCAGCAGTTGGTGATTTTGTTACTCCTGAATTCCAGCGCTCTGAATTCCAGCGCTCACCAGGGAACTTCACTGTAAAAATAAATCAAACTCTTGTTCATAGTCCCAACCCCACTTCCCCCATTGCTCCCATGATGTACATACCGCTCAATGTAATAGCTGGCACCCCCAGTCCAGGCCCACAGTCTCCTGTTCGTGGCAGCAATAGCATGCTGGAGTTCAGCCCAGCACATTTTCTAAACAGTGCTCACTCTCCTTCATCTCAGCTCCCCACACAAGTGACTTCTTTTAGTGTAGATGTAGGACATGGAAATTTCTTGGACAGCTTTGGTCCTCCAGGGTCACATTCGCCTCCCCACTATACCTCCATCGGCAGCTATGGTCTAGGGCGGAGTAGTGGTGTCACAGATGCAGGGGAGATGACCAGTATGCTCAGTCCTGGTGACTCCTTTTCCTCACTGGGAACGCTGGACACTGACCTGACCGACCTTCTGGCAGGCAACACCAGCATGCTGCTCCCTCCTACAGGTTTGTGAGGCTTTTATTATGAAAAGTAAATTAGAAAATAAAGGCATTAGCTTTCTTCAAGAAAATGAAGATTTTAATCAGGCTTATTGGCATGAGAAGCTGGGATTTTGTTTTGTGTTATTCAGTTTTGTTACGTGGAGGGCTAAATGAATAAATGTCCCATTTAAAAAATTATAAAACAATCTGTATTCTTCTCATTGTTGTGAAGTTACAAGTAGTAGGCTTTGCTGTGGTGGTGGTGGTGATAGCAAAGTTTTTTTTTTCTTTTTTCCCCAAAGACTTTAAGTTAGCAAATCAACTTGAAGTTTCATGAGTAGGCTTAGCGTTATATTCTATGCCTGGTCATACAGATATTTTGTAAGTGATATTTGCTTATTCAGTATTGATTATTTAGATCATGAAACAGAAGTGACACACACTTTATTTTTTTATTTTTTTCTGCACTGGACACATGATAAGTCATTTGTTTCTAATATTTTAATATAAACATGCATTGAATATTTTATTGTAAAGAAACAGATATTTTCCCCCATTTTATAGGAGGAATAAGTGTAAAAAAAAATTGTAATTAATATTACTCATTCTTATAGGTCAGCTATTTGATGATGTGGGATTGGTATCAGAGCAGCCATCAGTCAATGAACAACTCCCTCTAGTAGAGCAGCGGCTAGTGCAGACTCACCGTGAGCTTGGTACCAATCTGCAGCTGCAAAGACGAAACATCAACCTGATTGAAGAGGACATGCAGCAATACCCACTTAACATTGCCAGCAAAGTGCTGAGACCACAGATCTCACAAATCAAGGTAATTGTGAGTCACTTTTGCTAAACCAACTTGCCTTTGTATACCATTGTGTACTATTTTGATCACACTAACCATTAATAACCATACTTTTTGGTATATGAACTGTGCTTTTTGACTACAATTTAGACATATTACTTATTCGTCCTCCATTTAAAATTTTGTCATAAAATTCAGATGTATTACCACAGTTTTTTATGCCATATGTTACTTGTACTTGGGCTCTTGGTGAGAATCGAGGGGATAAGGAAACAAGTTTCTGTCCGTGTTATTTCACGCTATTGCATACTATCAGTACCATTACCTTAGGCCATATGCGTATGTACATACACAAGTACATAGGTACATATATTGCTTTTATAAAGTGTGATGCTTTTTGGCAAGGAATCTGTTAAAGCATTAATATTCATAGTTTAATCTTTGATAAGTTTTAAGAACAAAATTCACTGTTTCATGTACATGTGTGAAGAAGTTGCAGCATTGCAGCCGAATATTAAACATACATTTATTTTTGAAAAGAAAAGTTTGTAAGCATCAGTCAGTATTCTGCAAAAATATGAACAGAATATTAAGGACTTGTCGGGGGTGTATCAAAATATTGTATATTTCTTAACACACAACAAAACATTTTCTGTTATAAATACTGTCTTGTGATATGCATATGGAAGTCTCATAGTGGGTGTCATTAGTGTGTAGCAGCATTTTTTTATGTGGAGATATTTTGGTACTATTTTTAGTAGGTAACGACTACTTCCATCCATACAGAGGCATGTTTAAGTGATATTTAATATGTAAGTTTGAATATATTAATTATTACTCCCTGAAATGTTGAATTTCAGTAGAGAAGATTGTTAAGGCAGTGAAATTTTTAATTTGTGTTTACAGGATCTCGGTGGTGGCAGGCTACATGGCCGAGGAGATTACAGGAGAGTCTGCCTTCAAGTTTATGCATAAGGATGATGTACGCTTTACAATTGTAGCTCTACGACAGAGTACGTAACCTTATTGATTGCTAATGCAGTAATTAAATATCATACCCATGATTATAATTCTTATTGCCAGACTGGGAGCTGAAGCTCTTGCACTAGAAATCAGTCAGATTGATGGGTGACTTGGTTGCACTGTAGCACTGATTGTTGCATATTGGAAACTAATAGTCAGTTTCAGTAGGTGTTCTGTATCTGTAGTATGTATTCTTCTTCCTCTTATGATTGCACAAAGTCGTGAATTATTGTGATGTGTAGCGTTTGACTTAAGATTGTGATATGTATACACAGTAATAATTAATATGACAATGTTAGAACACCTGTTGGTAGTTCATGGGAATTTTTTGACTGACTTCACTGCTATCAACTTTTCACTAAAAAATGTAGTTATTTATGTAGGAAGTCCTTGAATATATAAGCACATTTGTAGACAACCGTAAAATGTGATCACCTTGTATTTTTGTTACAGTGTATGATCGTGGTAAAGGGAGTTATGGCAGCAGTTGCTACAGGCTTCTGTGCAAGACCGGCCAGTATATTTACTTGCGTACTCATGGCTACCTTGAGTATGACAAGGACAGCCAGAAGATAGTTTCCTTCATATGCATCAATACCCTTGTGTCGTAAGTTATCAGCGAATTTATTAACAGTAGGATTTCAGGTTTTCGCTGCTATGAGTATGAAAATGACTGTGTTCTGGGTTGTTGCACTGTGTAGTCTGGTAGGAGTTTACTGATGTTTCAGAGGTCCTTGCTGCCTCCATCATGAGGCTCTGCTCAAATAATTATTCTGCCCTGGATATATAAAATATTACACCAATGGTATATTGAACAGTGTCCATTGTCTGAGATTGACGTACATGATATTTTAGGATTTGGTTTTGCTTTGTCTTCAGGTGCTTGCTTTATGTAATACTGACATAATTTTTTATATATTAGTGGTAGCTCTTAAAATTGAATCCTCCTGACATGATGCTTAAAATTTAAGGCTGTGCAGTGAATACCATCCAGCATAACAATTGTCTTGTGTTTAGGGAGGAAGAAGGTGTGCAACTTGTGCGAGAGATGAAGGCTCGGTTCTCTGCCAACATCTTGACAGCATCTAGCCAGCAGCCAGCTCCACTTCCTCCCGCTTCCATCCCGTCCACTTCCACTGTCACGTCTGGCCCCCTGGTAAGTAAAAGAATCATGCCCAATATTTGAATTGATGAAAATGTGATAAAATAGAATGACTTTGAGACTGTGTTATGATTACAGGAATCAGACCTGTTGGAGGTAGCTATTTCACAACTTATTTCCAACATCCCTGCAACAGAGGATGATCAGGGTGGAGAAGAGGAGAGGCGCCCTGAGGTATCAGATACCCAATATATGAAGGTTGTACACTATTCGAAGGCTCTTCCTCCTGCAACAATACAGGCAGCAAAAGTGGGCCTTGACCCACTTATGTCATTGTCTCATGTGGGGCCTACCTCACCTACAAGACCACTTACTGTGACCATCCCTGGAACACCTTCAAGGGTACAGACAGATTCTGCTTGGTCTATGGTGAAACGTGAATCTGTTATAACATCTTTAGTGTCTTCTGTTAAGACAGAGCATGTTCCTCGACCTCCACCACCAGTGCCACCTCGAAGGCAAGAGACTGTTGTGGTTAGTGTACAGGCAAATCAGGCTGGAAATATGCCAGAGTGCATGACAGGGTTGAGAACACAAGCAAATCCAGTGTTGAAGCGGACAAGTAACATTGCAGACTGTGAGGTACAGAGTAGTTCTAAGCGTCAGCATGTGAGCTATGCTCGGCGAAGGGAAAGACGCCCCACTGAACCTTCAGCCCAACTTCATCTTGAGAGTCCCACAATGGATGAACCTAGGAGGACACCAGATGAACAGCTTCGACTTATCATGATGCGAGACTCTCTTGTCACGAGTCCTCCTGCTAATTCCCTCTTACACTGTGTTGCAAGGGGATTCTCAGAACCCAGTGCACCGAGTCCTGTTTCTCCAGCAGTTGGTGATTTTGTTACTCCTGAATTCCAGCGCTCTGAATTCCAGCGCTCACCAGGGAACTTCACTGTAAAAATAAATCAAACTCTTGTTCATAGTCCCAACCCCACTTCCCCCATTGCTCCCATGATGTACATACCGCTCAATGTAATAGCTGGCACCCCCAGTCCAGGCCCACAGTCTCCTGTTCGTGGCAGCAATAGCATGCTGGAGTTCAGCCCAGCACATTTTCTAAACAGTGCTCACTCTCCTTCATCTCAGCTCCCCACACAAGTGACTTCTTTTAGTGTAGATGTAGGACATGGAAATTTCTTGGACAGCTTTGGTCCTCCAGGGTCACATTCGCCTCCCCACTATACCTCCATCGGCAGCTATGGTCTAGGGCGGAGTAGTGGTGTCACAGATGCAGGGGAGATGACCAGTATGCTCAGTCCTGGTGACTCCTTTTCCTCACTGGGAACGCTGGACACTGACCTGACCGACCTTCTGGCAGGCAACACCAGCATGCTGCTCCCTCCTACAGGTTTGTGAGGCTTTTATTATGAAAAGTAAATTAGAAAATAAAGGCATTAGCTTTCTTCAAGAAAATGAAGATTTTAATCAGGCTTATTGGCATGAGAAGCTGGGATTTTGTTTTGTGTTATTCAGTTTTGTTACGTGGAGGGCTAAATGAATAAATGTCCCATTTAAAAAATTATAAAACAATCTGTATTCTTCTCATTGTTGTGAAGTTACAAGTAGTAGGCTTTGCTGTGGTGGTGGTGGTGATAGCAAAGTTTTTTTTTTCTTTTTTCCCCAAAGACTTTAAGTTAGCAAATCAACTTGAAGTTTCATGAGTAGGCTTAGCGTTATATTCTATGCCTGGTCATACAGATATTTTGTAAGTGATATTTGCTTATTCAGTATTGATTATTTAGATCATGAAACAGAAGTGACACACACTTTATTTTTTTATTTTTTTCTGCACTGGACACATGATAAGTCATTTGTTTCTAATATTTTAATATAAACATGCATTGAATATTTTATTGTAAAGAAACAGATATTTTCCCCCATTTTATAGGAGGAATAAGTGTAAAAAAAAATTGTAATTAATATTACTCATTCTTATAGGTCAGCTATTTGATGATGTGGGATTGGTATCAGAGCAGCCATCAGTCAATGAACAACTCCCTCTAGTAGAGCAGCGGCTAGTGCAGACTCACCGTGAGCTTGGTACCAATCTGCAGCTGCAAAGACGAAACATCAACCTGATTGAAGAGGACATGCAGCAATACCCACTTAACATTGCCAGCAAAGTGCTGAGACCACAGATCTCACAAATCAAGGTAATTGTGAGTCACTTTTGCTAAACCAACTTGCCTTTGTATACCATTGTGTACTATTTTGATCACACTAACCATTAATAACCATACTTTTTGGTATATGAACTGTGCTTTTTGACTACAATTTAGACATATTACTTATTCGTCCTCCATTTAAAATTTTGTCATAAAATTCAGATGTATTACCACAGTTTTTTATGCCATATGTTACTTGTACTTGGGCTCTTGGTGAGAATCGAGGGGATAAGGAAACAAGTTTCTGTCCGTGTTATTTCACGCTATTGCATACTATCAGTACCATTACCTTAGGCCATATGCGTATGTACATACACAAGTACATAGGTACATATATTGCTTTTATAAAGTGTGATGCTTTTTGGCAAGGAATCTGTTAAAGCATTAATATTCATAGTTTAATCTTTGATAAGTTTTAAGAACAAAATTCACTGTTTCATGTACATGTGTGAAGAAGTTGCAGCATTGCAGCCGAATATTAAACATACATTTATTTTTGAAAAGAAAAGTTTGTAAGCAGTTCTCAGAGAATGATGCAGGTGGAAAAAGATTTATTTTCAGTATTTTGCACACACTAGTAGAATGTCTTTTGAAGTTATAGTGTTAGGTTAGATGAGGTATAACTTTTAAAGTGTTTCCACTTGCACGTGTATGGGGGATAATTGGGTTACATAGAAATTATTAGTTTCTTGGTTTTCTGACAATATGATTTTATGTGAGCATTGTTGTCTTTGTTTTATACATTATGATAGCAACACATAGTGTCTAGTAATATTTAATTTTCTGTTGTTGTTGTTGTTGTTTTTTGTTTTTTTGTTTTTGTTTTTTTTTTTAATTTTACTTACATCCAGCACTATGCAGCATGTAAAGAGAGTTAATTTTTTTTCTTTTGTATGCCTAGTTGTTTAAATTTAAACTTTCTTTCGATATGAATAGTAAGCACATTGAAAGTCTTCCATTAATTTTGTAGGCCCAGCAAAAGAAACAGGAACAAGAACTTATGACATTACAGCAGGACCACCATAACATACACTGCAACAATAAGAAGCTGACTGTCTGCAGGATGAACCAGGATGTTGGCGTCTAAATGGATGGATTCAGAAGTTAACCAAAGGTGCACTGTTAATGGTGTTGTCATTTGAGGTGCTTGTTACCAAGTGAAAATAATGTGGCACTGTTGTGGACTTTAACACATGGCTGAGCTGCATGCCATATCTCAGGCAGCCAAGCTCAGGTTTGAATTTCAGTGTGAGATTGCAACTTTGTAATGGACCAAATGAAGTCGGAAGAAATTTGTAAATTACAGCATATTGCAAGAAGGCAAATAGCTACAGCTAGCACATTTTTTGAGACAACTCCACATAGCTCATTAAATGTACTGTACCAGGAAAGTAGGCCTACACTCAAAGCACTCAGCTGTTAAATGTTAATGTGATTCATATGTATATGTTTTTTTATCCTTTTCATAGTCTAGCTACTGCAGCATAGCAGAATACATCCTGAAACCTAATCCCCGTCTCACACACATCGTATGTGGTGTTAATTATGACAAATTATCAGTCCCATCAGAATAACTGTTGAGTATTAACTACACAGAGGTCATTCACCAAACATTCTGAGAGTGAAAACAAGGTGCTCTGTTTCAATCTTTGGAGTTTGCTGCCAAGTTAGGTTTATAGTTGTGTAATTGAGATTCATAGTGTCTCTGTCACTGCCATTTAAATACTTTATGTTTGAAATTTGGTGGATGTACAAAACTTGGACTCTGATTTGAGAAATTTGGTTAGTTTGTCATGTTATTCATACTCTATCAGAAATGTTACTTTTACACATTCAGAGTAGGAAGGCAGTTCTTGCTTATATGGCTCCTATACCAGCCAGGGGGCTTTTTGCTCTGCACCAAAGTTGAGAGCTGTAGTTAATTTATTTTATTTGTAAGTGTCAAAGACTATTCTATGGAAAGCTGATATGTCAAGATTATGACAATCAAAAATTTTAATTTGAAGAGGAAGAAAGGAAAATGAAATTTTAAAAGGAAATTTTTTTCAAGTCTTACAAATTTTAAAAGACCCACATTGCTTTACTTTTTTTGAGTATTGTGATGGTAAGAGATCAGGTTTCTTTACACAAAATAGATATTAGTCTGTCAGACATTGCTAGGAATGTTACAATGTCAGGACTGAAAATGTAAATAAAATCTGCCAGATAGATTGTTTGTTATGTTACACTTTTTAAAAGAATGTGTTTCTACGTGTATTATTGCTATGTAGCCATCTGGTGTGGGCAAGCATCAAGCTGCCTAGGTATGACTGTTATATTTCTCTGTCTATGAACTTTTAATGAGGGTGACCCATACTCTCTGTGTCTCAGCTGTGAAAGCCTCGAACCTAACTGGACAATGTACTCTATGGTTAAGACATATCAGTTCTGTTTTGCCTTCAAAACTATTTGTTGAATGAATCACTCTGTGTAGTTAATATTCAAGGGAATAACATTGTAAGTCTCATTTTGTTGTGTGATGTTGGTGGCAGCTGATTGAGGCATATGCATTGTTATATTTTGACCTGGCTGCTTACATACTACAGTACCTGTATTAGCCCTACCTAGTCTGTACCTTTATGCTCCATACCTCTTTCTTTCCCTTTGCTTGAAGCTTTTCTCTTATTAACTGGCTAGGCATGCCAAGGCCATCACAGTACATCTATATATTAAGGGCACAGCAGTTGTAATTTCACTACTCACCAACACACAAAAATTCCAGATAGTTTATTTAAATAGTTCAGCTAGTCATCACTTTTATACATTTTTTAATTATCAAGTGCCTTCTGTTTTTCAGAAGATATCCAGTTTTGTATTTTTTACTTTTACTAAAATGAGAAACACACAATTTTGTATCATTTAAAAAAATAATTTTTTTTATTGTTAGAATATTTCAAACTTGCAGTGCCCTTGCAATGATAGTTCCATCCAGAACTCCAGAAATATGTTAATCCACTGAATGTGAGAAAGTTGACAGATAGTGATGGCAAAAATATTTTTGTCCCCAGTCTCATCTGTAATAAAATATAATAAATAGATAATTTTAGAGTGTTCAATACCTGTTACAAGGCTTGAAACTGTAGATGACTGATTTTAATTTCACTATATTTTGTTTCATGCAATTGACCACTCTTTGTCAACTCAAGTTGTGTCACTTGTACACTGAGAGGCTGTAAACCAGTGATTTTTTAATATGTAGCAGATTTAAATTGTATTTCTGGAGCCCTGGTGCCATCATATTGCTTTACATGATGGACTGATGCAGCCTGCTCAGCTGTGTCCAATTGTAAGCCGAGTCAGAGCACACATGATTATCAAACAAGGTGACATCCCAATAAAATAATTTTCCTGAATTCGGTTCATCCAAGCAAGCAAGACATGGACTCATTATTTGTTAATTGTTTATGACATGGTACTCAGCCTGTTTGATATAGCAACTTCATGTTCCAAAATAGAGTTAATCTAGTGTTCAGTTCATATGTACATAGTAATAACTGTTCTATCTTTCTTTATTATTGTTTTTTTTTTCTGAGATGGCAACATTTTCTTTATGGGCACTGTACATATTGAAACCTGCTCAAGATGGTGTTCATAGACTGATATACATAAGACTGAACTTGATTATCATATTTAAACTTGGTAGAGAGACATCGTAGGAGTCTAGTTTGGATTCTTTGGGCTGACACCACCTCAAGAAGAACTATGTTATTTTGTGGTGTGTTGTGATGTGCAGGAGACAACATCCTCCTTCATGGCATCTGTCACAGGCTTGTTTAGGTACATGTCTTAGTGGAAAATACAGGATCCGGTGATGACGAGCATGGCAGAGATGTATACCAAGAAACATCATACCTCAAAGCAAAATACTGGATACTCTGACAGTTTGCATTCCAACTGCAGAAATAGGTTATACAATCAAGTTAAGCAGATTGAAGAACTGTTGCTGTGTTTGTTCAGAACCTCCCCACATGTTAACACTGTTAATGCTTAGTAGTTATTATTATTACTATTATAATTATTGTTTTTTTAAGTCTGCAGTTTGACGTCCACAGCCATAATGTGTTTTAATTGTGGATCCAGTGCCATACTTGTGCATGGTTATCGCGTCTTTCCTTAAGTTTGAATACCACATGTAATGTCACAGAGTGTATGCTGTCATGAGGCCTTACATCTACAGCCAAGAGAATATTGACTGTGGTTTAGTAGTAGTTTGACCTTGTTCATAATACACTCTTTGTCCCCTAGCAAGAGTTCCTTTTCCATTTCAAAAAATGAACTGTTATGTTACTGCTGGTCCCATGTACTAATTATTTGAAAACATTGGTAAGGCCTGTTTGTGGTTTCCATGTTCTCATGTCTTATGTAGTGCTATGTTTGCCAGTGATGGAAATGGATAGGAATTCAAGGGTCCCTTTCTTGTAAGTAAATGAAGCAGGGACTTTGTTTTCTTCTGAGGTTTGCACCAAGCAGGTTGATGCTGTAATATTGCTCAAAAGTTGTTTTCAGAAGCTATCCAGTTTGAATCTTGCTTAGGTTACTGCATGTCCCGAGTGTTTTCTCGGTTCTTATTCTTCCAAGACAAATGCTGAGATAGTATCTTTAAATGGACCACTGCACCTCCTTCCAAATCCTTATGTATTTGTCACTCACAATCATCTCATCTCATTTGACAGTACGGGTAACCTTCGATTTGTGCCGCTTCAATTTGCGCTGATTCAGAATAACGCCACTTTTGAAACCAGCAAGTCAAAAAGTGGAAAAAATATATTTTACTATTATTTACAACGTTTTACCATGTTTCTCGTACTAATTCTTATACTAAATCGTAATTCTTACATCGCTGATTTTGAATAAAAATTATAAATACGGTCACCTCTGCACTCATTGCTGAGTTGTTGCGAGATAATCTCCTAAAAATCTGCCAGCATTGCTCAATAGTCACGTGAGCATTGGTCACTCTTCACGGTGTGCGTTCAGCCTGATAAGGGAGTAAGGAAAAGTGCACTCAGTTCACTTCTTGTTGACACATTGAATGTGCTGAAAACTGTGTGCTAAACGTGTTTGTGTTGTTGTTCGACCACTATTCTGCAGTAGCAACTGTTTTATATTTATAAATTGTAGAAGAGCCACCATGTCTGGTAAGAGAAGTGAATGTGTTGCTAGAAAGTTGCGTAGGTCTATTGTGTTAGAAGATAAGATGGACGTAATTCGCAGAATAGAAGGTGGTGATACCCGTCGTAATGTGTGCAGAAGTATGAAGTTGCCTCCTTCCACTGTTACTACCATAATGAAAAATTCATATAAAATAAAACAGTCAATGCGACAGGCTACGAGAGTAAGTGCAACGCAAGTGAGTTATATCAGAGTAAACTTTTAGAAAGAATGGAGAGATTACTGTAACTATGAATCAAAGAAACCTTCCCTTGACTGAAATTGTTATCACGGATAAGGCGAAGTCAATTTTTGAGGAACTTAAGTCGTCAATGTTTGGGTGCTGGGAACGCATGTCAATGATTTCCAATTGATTTACATTATAAAAAGAGTTTCAATTTACGGCGGTAAGTCCAGGAACGCATCTCCGGCGTAAATCGAGGGTTACCTGTATATATCTTCTGCAATTGAGAAGTGTTGGTAATAACCAAAGAATGTAAGTTTTGCAAAGGTAATTGATATTTTCTGACAATTTTTACAGATGTTGCTGTGTAGTGGAGGTACCAATTTCACATCCCAGCAGGAGGCAGGATATCTTGACTAAAACATTTCGTCTGTTCCCCAAGTCCTTCCTGGTAAACATCCTTGCACCTGTAAGTACCTCTTCCTTTCTTAACTCTCCAATTTCCCTATGTCTAAACCAGTCTGGATACTATATGTAATTATATAATTAAGCAATATGTAATCTCTGCTCATTTGTTGAAATTTAAATGCTGG